AAACCCTAAACCCTAAAACCCTAAAACCCTAAACCCTAAACCAGGAATGGGTCCACGGTGCCGCGGCCCTGGGACGCAACGAATACCTTCGGCCCGTGGTTGACTGGAGTTGGGAATGGGCCAAGTGGAGACGAAGCTGCAAAAGCTAGGGTTCTTTAAAAGGGATCTATAGGGTTCCTTATAATGGGATCTAGAGGGGTTTAGGGGTCTTAGGGGTTTAGGTTAGAGGGGTTTAGGGTTTAGGGTACCTTTAAAGTGTTCCTTTAAGGGTTACTATAAGGGTACTATAAGGGTTCTATAAAGGGTTCAGGGTTTAGGGGGTTAGGGGGTTAGGGGTTTAGGGGTTTAGGGTTTAGGGGTTTAGGGTTTTGGGGTTTAGGGTGTAGGGGTTTAGGGTTTACGGGTTTAGGGGTTTGGGGTTTAGGGTGTAGGGGTTTAGGGTTTACGGGTCTAGGGAATGGTGCAAAAGCTCTTCATTCCAAGGGGAAAACGAGGGACCCTTAATACGGACCCCTAGGTATATACCCATAATATAGCTGTTATATATCCATTGTATAGCCCATGGTATGAATGAACGAATGGTGTATGTATGCACGTATGTAGGTATCCGTACATGTATGCCTTAGGGTATCTAAAAATCAAGAGATAGTACCAGTTTCTATTGGTGTGGTTTCTGCTTGTCATTGGGTAAATAAAATTTTGCTGCGGTTGCAATTGCACTTGTCGTTTTTGTTGTGATGGCGGTGATCTTTGCTTTGCTAATTGTTGCTGCCATTGCTAGTGCGTAGTTCCGGGCTTCCTCATGCAGTGGTTTGTTTTGTCGTACGCATGGCCACCTGCTCTCAGCGCGTGGCTCCAACAAAACTGACTTCTTTACACAAATCAGCACGGATTATGTGGAGCCCATTCTGAGGGTTATCCCTTGGTTTGGTGGCCGTGCTGACTCCCTGCCATGACGGGACAAGGTGTCCTTTCTTTCGGGATGCGGTGGTTTATTTATGGATTCAGGATTTGTTGCAAATCTGTCTTACAGGCTCTGGGAAAGAGTCCCAGTACAGCGCAGAGGTAAGCCTGAGAATGCCCGAGCCGCACTTCGCTGTTCCGCCTTTGGCCTGTCTCCACAAGCTTTAGTAGAGTCTCAACCGGAACAGAAAACCCCAAAACCCTGCGCCACCAGCCCTAAACCCGTGACCCAAACCCTAAACCCAAGCGGAAGACCCTATGCCTCACTGGGTTCCTGAGACCATAGTTTAATGCTTTTTTGGTACTATAGGGGCCTTGAAAAATTGATTACCTATATTGTGTTGATTATTATGGTACAATGGCCCCAAAGCCCTTTTCAAATCATTAACTTAATGCCCCTAATTATTGGTTACTTTGTCATTAAAGCCCCTAATCATTGGTAACTTTAATGATCAGCGACTCAGGATGTGTCGTGAGGAGGTCCCGGCACCGCCGGTGCCGGCAACCTGAGCTCCGTCTCACGAGCGCCTTGGGCTTTCTTCAGACCTTAGAGTCCTTGGATCTGAGGCCCTGAACGACAGGGCCCTCTGTACTGCCTTAAATATCTTGTTATACATGAGAGTATCTTAGATAGTGAACGGGCGAACTTCAAACTTATTGGCCTTATATATTAGCTCTATTCTAGAAAGTTTGAACTTTTTGGGGCCCGGTTGTTGAAGAAGAGAGGTATCATAGAGAAGATGGAGGCCAAACCCACTGACTGACTGACAACCACTCGGATGCGTCAATACGGTTCGTGAACAAGGAGCCGCATCTGTGGACTCCGAAGGGATCTGCGCACAACCAAAACCTCAGTAAGCCACTTACGGGCCTCCCAAGAGACAGAGGCGCAGGCCCAACGGTACGGATAGTTAGCACACAGCACGAGGCCGAACCCACGCCTAGTTTCCCTAGAGAAGTCTATATGAGCCGTTACAGAACCCGTAACAAGAAGTTCCTACCCTAGAACATTCACACGACAAAAACCTGAAACCCTTACTCTCACAAGAAACCGTACAAAAACCTGAAATCCCAAAACTGAGACGCCTCTTGGAACCGATCAAACCCAGCAAAGGAAACCCTGACGAGGAACCCTGGCCCTATACCCGAAATGGGAGTTTCCGAAAATAGGGCAAACTAATATCAGAACCTCAAATACTAGGGTCCTTTGGTTGCGGGGGGATGTGATGCCTCAAAGTTTGCGCGAGGGGGGCTAAAGTCGCCATAGTTCCGGGTTGTTGGTTTAGGATGTCAGCGCATAAGTTGAATGCATGCTGAGAGAAACATCTATTTTGTAGTCCCTGCATACTTCTACTACAATATATCCCAAAACCTCAATCCACTTATTCAGGCCCTTGTGTTTGGCACTGGGGCCCTTGCCCTTAGGTAGGACAGCCCTAAACCCTAAGCCCCGGCAGTGCACGAACACTCACGGCCATTGAAAGGTAGGTTTTAGTAGGGTCATCAGTATGAGTAGCTCAGTAAGGAGCTGTAACCTCGAGCTCGAACCCATTTTTATGACCAGTTTCTGACCTTCCATCCTTCGAAGTTGCTGCCGAGGGCTGCCGTGGCCGAGACCCCGCCTGCTTTGAGAGGATTTTCTGACTGCGGAGATCTGCCGGAGGGAGCCTCGTCCCTCCGAGCCCCTGAACAACCCTACCGTAGGGGCCTTATCTATTTTGGTGGCTCCTTATTGTACTTAGCATATAATAAGGGACCTCACAACCCTATTCTAACTATTTAGGTCCCGTGATTAAAGCTTCAACTTTAGGGCCTAAAGCCTTCCTCTTTTAGGGCTCGGTTACAGGCTCCTTTTGTATGGTTTCTTTTTTGTGTCTTCAAGCAGGGACGATTGAAACCCCCGAGCCTCATCCTCAGTAGGGCAATGCGCAATCCGAGGTCCTCAAGTTCATATATATATATATATATATATATATATATATAGTATATGTATATATATTTTATTTATATATATATATATTTATGTATTTATATCTCTCTCTCTCTCTCGCTCCCTCCCTCCCTCCCTCCCTCACCTCCCTCCCTCCCTCCCTCCCTCCCCCTCCCTCACTCCATCTCTCTCTCTCTCTCTCTCTCTCTCTCTCTCTCTCTCTCTCTCTCTCTCTCTCTCTCTCTCTCTCTCTCAGTCTTATAGAGCCTATTGAGCAGGCCAGTCAAATGCGTTGAGGAATCGTGAAATGGGGACTTTCCACCTGACCGCGTCCGGATCCGCGACCCGAACCCCAAACTCCTAAACCCTCTAACCCCAAACTCCTAAACCCTAAACTCTTCAACTCCTAAACCCTGAACCCTAACCTCCTAAAACCCAGATGTGTGCTTCTAGGATCCGCCTTTCCACAAAAGTCAGAGCTCCTCTCATGGGAAGCTCGGGGAGACTTCGTACTGCTCCGGTGCTCCTAGAAACCTAAATATATCATTCTTGTTACTGTTACCAGTATGAATATTTGTATTCTAGTTATTGATGATTTTTCGGGGTTTAAGGGTGTGGGCTTTAGGATTCAGGGTTGAGGTTGTTTGTGCTGTTGGCATTGTGTTCTTCTTGGCCATGGTTACTACAACATGCGGTTTTCAGAACGTACTGATTCCGATGGCAGATGTGGGTTTTTCCACCTTACATATTCGCTAAATTTCATGCAGGTTTTCAGGGCTTGGGGTAACATGTCTTTTAAGTCCCCCGAGCTTCCAAGAACGGTTCTAAACGTGTGAGTCGCACTGCCGGAAGACGGCTGTGGGACGAATTCATGCGGCTTAGGACGGTGCAGGTTTAAGGAAATTGAGGGTTCAAGGAAATTGAGAGTTTCAGGGTTTCGCTCACAGCAAAAAGGCTGTTCCCAAGGCATCACAGCATAGCCGGCAGCAAGTTCGGTCATGGCCATGCCGATGTGGGGGGTGTTCTAGATTCTAGATGGGGTTCCCGCCTATTAGAGGAACAAGGGTTCAGGATATAAGGCCCTTGGCATCCTGCCATCGCGAGCTCGTCATCAGAATGGTATGCTCTGTTAGCATCCTGCGAGTTTGGAACATTCCCTTCTGCGTCGAAGTCTCACCTTGTCAGTACATCGAGCTATCACTGAGTGCCGTGCGTTCACACAGTGATTGCAGCGGTGGTTGCTCGGCCATGGTGGCAAGAAACATGCGGCTTGGAGGTTTGGATTTCGTGGTTCATGGTTTGGGGGTTGTTTCAACCTCCCCGGTGTGACCCATGGGGCTGTGAATGTCTCGGGATTTCAGTTTCAATAATCCATAAAGTCATGCCTTCATTGGGACCATTGGGATGTATGAGAGCATCTAAGCAATGCCAGCGAAGGAAGGAGTGCCCGGGTAAAATCCCCATGCATTGACGGAGTTTCCCACGAAGAGAAGCCGCTTCAATTGTTAAGGACCGGTTGCTTTTTTTGCGAAGTGCCATGACATCCAAAGCTAGCTCCCGTCTAATATGAGGATCGGGCAGAGCCCAAGGGCAGGGTGGGGTCCGGTCACAGCCTGAGTGTTCTTTCTTCATCATGACTCCATGGTCCAACCCACAGGAGGTTGGAAAGCTTTCGCGAAAGATTTTCTGATGTTTGCGAAGCACAGCTCTGCACACGAGCCACTGCATGAGCAGGAAGCAAGTCCTGTACAGCACGCGCAACAATCGAAATCTAAAGCCACTGTAGCCACTGCTCAAACCTAAGCCGTGGAATGCCCAGCCCCAGCGCTCCAGCCCGCAAACTGAAGGCAAAACCCCCAACCAGAAGCCACACGAAACCCTACACTCCAAGACCCCAGACCCGAAACCAACTCCAGACGCCGAAGCACCCCTAAAGCCTTCTATATAATATGATACAGTAGATTATTACACATGATACAGTACATATATGTAGACATATATATATATATATATATATATATATATATATATATGTATATAGATATATATATATATATATATATACATACAGATTTCACTTTACAGAATATATTATTCCCCATGCTAGGGCCGCAGCCGGCGAGACTCGGGCCGGGACAAGAAGGAGAAGGAAGACCGAAAGGACGACCGCAAGGATCCTCCGAAGCTTGAAACCCAGAATTCCACGCTGTATGTGTGCGGAAACATACGGTTTAGGGTTTAGGGTTTAGGGTTTAGGGTTGAGTGTATGTGTGTATGTATGCATGTATGCATGTATGTATGTATGTACGTATGTATGAGTGTGTCCGTCTGTTCGTCTGTCTGCCTGCCTGCCTGCCTGTCTGCATGCATGCATGGATGCATGGGTGCATGTATGTCGTTATGTGTTCTTGTATACATGTGTAGATACATATATTCAACCAAGCGCACAAATACATATGTGGGCATACATATGTATATATATATACACACACACATGAAAACGTACATAATATGCATGCCGATGTGTGCATGTATATATGCATCCATGCGCATTTGCATGCCTGTATGTACGTATGAGCGGATGTATGGGTGCATGTATGTATGCAAGTACGGAGGGATGAATGGAGGTACGTATGCATTAGGGTATGCATGGATGTACAAAGTCCCTGATCGTTTACGCACCGCTGACCGCAAGGACGACCGAAAGGAAGACCGCAAGGATGACCGGAAGGACGACCGCAAGGATGATCGCAAGGCCGGAAAGATTTAAACCACATCAGGTCTACAACTTAATTTACTGTGATACGGCAATGTTCATATGATGCAATGCCGTACCTCATTGTATGATATGTTACCCTAATCCCTAAACCCATAAATGTTAAGTGTAATGTAATGTAATTTTGTATATAACCTCAGACCAAGGCGCTCGGAGTCGCTGTCGTCGTCCTGATCACAGTGCGTCTCCCCGCTACCCCCTTCCCTCACACCATATTCATAATAATGATATCATTAATATGTGAATATGTATATATATATATATATATACGTATGTATATATATATATGTATATATATGTATATATATGTATATATATATATATATATATACGCTACAAAATACTGTAATTAGAAACCTCGAGGTGATGAACCTTTAGAAGTCAGATAAGTTGAAGGTACTTATACTTAGCGACTGTGAAACCGCAAAGCAGCCTCGAATCCTGCTTTCTAAACCCAATCCATTCGCCCAAACCCAGGTCACATGTCATGTTTCATTAACGAATTATACCATACATGGATTCAGGTTGAGAGTATGCTCTGACCCGGAGGGATCCCATGTACGGAAGTGCAGAACCTTGCCGGCATGCAGCGATTGCTGCTGCCCTGCAGTCGTGCATGTCGGGCACCTCGCACTCTATATGGCCCCCAACCCTTACCTTTGGTCAGTGGGGAATGGAGGAATGGGGTACAATTATAAGTACTGTTACTACCATTCTTGAATTCCCTACTAACCAAAGGTAAGAACCCAAAACGGTCCATGTGCTTGGCGCGACCACCAGACTGCTAGACGTGACCGGCGTTTTGTGGCGTAGCTGAAACAGGCAATGTGCTAAAACCTAGGGAAAACGTGTATTATGACTAAAAAGTTGTGCTAGGAGAGGCGGAGAATCCCTGTGACAGGTCGATCGTTTTAGCGAAAAAGGTGTTGCCGCTGCAGCAAAAGCCACTTTTGCGAGCACCGCGCTGCGCAAACTTGGTCTGAGTGGACGTTAATATGGTTGACCCATGGATGCTCTGCGTCAATGAGATCTGGTCTGAGTGGACGTTAACATGGTTGACACATGGATGCTCTGCATCAAGAACATGGACCACCCATGGATGTTTTGGGCGACGTGGGTTGTAGCAAGTGCCGAACACACCGTAATTACCGGTGTGTTCGGCATATGACCCTAAGGAAGCATGGCTTCGATCAGAACTAGAGCTTGGGCCTGCCTGCGACAGAAGTCCACAGTTCTGGGAGTTAAGGGTCGGGACTGGCCGGAAGTAGCCCCCCCACCCGCACCCCCCCCCCCCCCACCCCCCCACCCAAGAAAAGTGCCAGGACGTACAGGACGCACACCAGGCGCTCTCACCTAAAACATACAAGAGCTACCATCATCTCACCGTAAAAAAGCCTGCTGCACCGTGTGATATGATACCCCAAACCGGTACAATCCAAAATCTCTACAGAACTCTTTCCGCAGCCTTTATACCAACCTAACAGTAAGCCCCTTATCCTACAGAAACTTCTTAAACCCTGCAACGTAAACTACATCCTAACCTTTACAACTTCATTGCCCCTACACCCTGAGCCCAAAAACCCCTAGGCTCTAAACCCGTAAACCCGAAACCCTTAGAAGCCACTAAGCCAACCTGAAGAGGAGCGAGCGCGCCGAAAGGCTACCAGCAGCCCTGAGCCGGCAGCCCGCCGCAAGCAGGTGGAGTGCTGGTCAAAAGGGGTCGGATTGTTAGTCTTGCTTCGGGTTCTATACGGGGTAGTCAGGGATCTGTAAAATTCTAAGAAGGTTAGTGGTGTTGGAGGTAGGTTTAGGAGTCAGGCTTTAGTTTAGGTTTCAGGGTTTAGGGGTTGTAGATACAGAATCGGTTCAAGGTTTGAGGGTTTATAGGCCCCAAGCCATCGGCAAATCTCAGGTTGTCGGTTCAGGGGCATACGTCTTGCCTAAAGATCATAACCTATTGACCTATTGGAGCCCAAACAATAAAATCCTACGTTCCCGATTTCTCAAGCACCCTGACGTAGCCCGCTGGACTTACTTTCGCGATGTTGAAAGACCTGGAGGAAAGATTTACAGGCGCTTAGGGGTTTAGGGAAGGATCAGGTTTATAGGAGTGTAAGATACATCACATCATACTATAACTATACAAGCACAGGCGCTATGAGGTGATTCGTTATTACCAGTTATTCCGACCCCCAAGTTAGAAAATTTCGTTCCATCACTCCCTACTGCTAGGCAGCAGGACGTAGACTACGCTGCATATTTGTCAGCCCTACCGTAACCTACCGAAAGTACTCTTGCGGCAGGGTTCCTTGAAAATCCATGTTGGGGTTTGTAAAAACGACCGTTATATGTGGAAGTTTAAGTAATTAAGGTACATTAGGCGTCATGCCACCCCTCACTACCAAGAGGCAGCAGAGTCGAACGACCTTAAACCCGAAACAAGTTTCTAGGCCCTAACTTCCATGCCAAAGCCCGCTCAAGACCCAGCAAGCGTTTTAAAGCCCTGAAAGAAACAGAACTCTGCATAGACCCCACAGAACCCTAAACTTGAAATTGCACCTAATCCCTAAACCGAGAACCCTTACGGGACTCAACAACAGATCCCGAGCCAACCTAATCCCGGGCACAGGCCACGACGCAGAGAGCGTGTGGGGCTTGGCATGCCATGCGTAAGTGTACCTTATTGAGGGCTTTGTTCTTGTAATAAGAGGTTCCTGAGTAGTACCCCTTTGCCCTTTTCATTTTACGGTCCCTCATTTAAAACCGAATAGGAAACAGGGTACCCTCATTATAAAGGGATTGTTCAGGAACCTAGAGCAGGATTTAGAGATTCTGGATTTAGAAGGCTTTCCTGCAGGGCTTACATTCCGGGTGCAAGTCAGCAGTCTCAGATTCGGGGTTTGTGGGTTCCGGATCCTGATAAAGTATAGGGCTTGGGATTCTACGGCTCTTTGGTTTTGGGTTTACAGGTTTCGGCATCTGGGCCGAGGTTTCGGGTCCTTGGTACATCGTAGACTATGTTCTCCCACCGGAGTTTTCTATGTAGTTGGAGCCTGGCGCATACGCGCCCCTGTGTTTTCCTTCACTTTTCAGCCGTTCGACTTGGTATTTGCGACGTTTCCGTTATTTCGGGCACTTCAGATTTTCGAGGCCTTTTCAGGGGGTTGCAAATTCGTGTTTTTCTGCTTCGGAGGTTTTGCTCAGTCTTTCTTGCTTCGGGGATGAGGGGTTCGGGGATGAGGGGGGGGGGTAGGGGGGGGTGGGGGGGGGGGGGGTGGGGGTAAATAACGTTCAGGCCGCAGTGTTGCTTCTGCTGTTACGTCTCAAATCAAAGTTTTGTGAGGCGCCTGGAAGCGTGCCATGCCTTTCCTCACAGACACACCGAGTCTGCGGTGGCAGGTGTGCCATGGGTTGAGCTTGGTTATTCTGCTCCGCTTGTGTGGGCTGCCTGCTCCGCATGATGCTCTGCGACGCTGCGACGCTTCTGGTCCTATGACGGCAAGGACCTCGCTGACCACCATGACGTCTGGTGCATGCCTGCTCTAGATGAGGCAGCTGCCATGGTCCGCTGGTGCACTTGGCGGGACCGGCCAGCTGCGCGACTTCCTTGGGAAGCCTTGCTGAAGCATCGCCGTGTCTTGTGTGACCTGTGGTACAACCTTGACTAACATTTTTATGTTACGAACGATGTTTTCTTCTGCTAATCTCTATGCATGTCTATAATGTATATCTATATGTACCTCCCTAAATACAAGGGCCCACTTTGCGCAGCGAAGATGCAAATCTTCAACTTTGCTTTCGCAACAGCAGTTTCTGCGTCGAGGGGTGCAACGCAGTCCGACGAAAGAAGATGTGCAGTTGCTGCCGCAGAAAGCCGAAGAGAGACAACGACACAAAGTACTTGCGAGTTGAGATGAGCCCTTTTGCAGTCTTGAAACTCCCTGAACTCCGAATGTATCGCCCCTGCCAGTGTTTGCAGCACGTAAACATTACCGGAAGTGCTTCCCGTTACACGGGCGCCAATGCGCCGCGCACCATGTAGTTGCCTCCGCTCTTGAGCCAAACGTTCCAAAGCACCAAATGTTCCAAACGTGCAGGGTCGTGTTAGGGGCATGGGGATTCAAAAATTGGGGCACCCGAAGATGGGACAGATAGGACCTTAACAAGTATCCTGAGAGAAAACACCACGGAATTTGGAGAACCTGTGAAACTGCTGTAAAAACTCTCGCTCTAGAACTTAAGTCCCACTGTCGTATATTATAGTAATGGTTAAGTGTAGCATTCTATAGTGTCTTGTAGGCATGCATCTCATCGCAGCTTATAGCATAGAAAAGAGGTATGAGACCCTTAACATATGGGCCTTGATGATTACCCATACGATTTTGGATAGTACAATGTACCCCCAAGTCGTTAAGGCCCCTATATGAACCCTTAAAGGAACTTTTTTAGGCGGAACCCTATTCTATTCATGAAGGCCCCTATAATCTGTTATATTTCTCTTATCGATCCCTTCTAGTAGCCCTTTAAAGGACCCCTTTAAAGGGAACCCCAAGGCCCCTCCGTTAACTGGCAGAACCCCTCGGACTTTGTCTTCTGCCGAGGTCGCCGAGCTATCAAAACGAGAAGAAGGCCGACCCCCCGAGCGCCTGCGTATCTATAAGGGTTCCTTAAAAGGGATCTATAGGGTTCCTTATAATGGGATCTATAGGGTTCCTTATAAAGGGATCTTTAGGGTTCCTTAAAGGGATCTATGGGGTTTAGGGTCTGCGTATCTCAAATTATCTTGCTTAGAGGATCAAGGGACTTAGTAACTAGGGCCCCCTAAAGGGATCTAGAGGGTTCCTTAAAGGGATCTCTAGGGTTTAGGGTTTAGGGTCTACTTAGAGGATCATGGGACTTAGTAATGGGTTATAATTGGGGTTGTAAGTCCCCTAAGTGGGGTTATCCTAATTGTAACCTACTTATAACCTTACTTACTAAGTCCATCAGCCTTTAAGTGCAAGGAAAGTATCTTATAGTAGAATGTGGTGTAGTGTAGGATAGGATAGTACAGTACAGTAAGTATGGTATCGCATGGCATCTTGTAAAGTATAGTATATCGTACCTTGTGGTATCTTAGTATGTCATAGTAGAGTATCATAGTACATGGCTTCGGTTTGCGGTGTGGGGCCCTGCGTTTTTGAAGCTTGGGGTTCTGTGGCTCACGGCTTTTAGCGGCCTTGAGGTTAGGAAACCCTAAACCCTGACCCCTAAACCCCAAACCCTAGAGTTGGGCCCCTTGCTGTGTGGGGCTCTGCGGTCTCTACAGTTTCGGAGCCTCCCTTCGATATAGCGCTGAGCCCCGAATACTGCTGGCTGCAGTGGTTGTGGCGGTGGTGGTGGAGTAGTAGTAGTAGTAGTAGTAGTAGTAGTAGTAGTAGTAGTAGTAGTAGTAGCAGTAGCAGCAGAAGCAGTAGGAGTACCAAGGCGCATCAGTAGGAATAGGAGTAGGAGAACTTCAGCACTTTTACTAAATACCGTAAAGGCTTTGCTGCAACACTTGCCTGCACTGGGGCCACCACCGCCATTTTCTGCGAGCAACGAACACCATGGTACTTCTGCTGCTGCCACTGCTGCCTCTCTCTGGCAATCAAAGTCTAGTAGTATTTCTGAGAATGTACTGTAGTTTCGTGTACTCCAGTGTAGTGCAGCACGGTACAGTGCAGCACAGCAAGCTAGAGCACAGTAGAGTATAGAGAAGAAGGTAGGGTAAGATCATCTCAACAGAGATCAGACACCTTCGGCATGATACGCCTTAACTATCGTACTCCGTGGAGGCCAAGGTCTCCAAGCCCTCCGAGGACGACGAAGCCGCCAAAGAGGCAACCAAGGGTTTGCCGTTTAGGGCTTCAGTGGGGCCTTGGGGCTTCATCCTAAACCCTAAACCTTGAGGGTTTAGGGTTCAGGGAACCTTGAAAGTGCGTGTGTGTGTGTGTGTGTGTGTGTGTGTGTGTGTGTGTGTGTGTGTGTGTGTCTGTGTCTGTGTGTCTGTGTCTGTGTCTGTGTCTGTGTCTGTGTCTGTGTCTGTGTCTGTGTGTGTGTGTGTGTGTTTTTTTGAAGGAGGGGGGTGGAGGAGGGATTGGGGGGGGATGTTCAACATCCTACAGCCTCGAAGCAAAAACTGCTCCTAATCCCTCAACCTGAACTTTGGATGCTTAGACACCTCCACTGCAGAGTATAGCCTGCATAGCTGTGTTGCTTTGATCCTGAGAGGTGTTCCTTGCGCTCTTTCCGTGCATGAATGCATGAAGGAGTAGGTCGGAAGTATGCCAGGTAGTATAGTAGTGTAGACCGCTGATTAATGAAGCCGCCGTGCTCAGGGAATTAACATCAGGAGCCCGATTACAAGTCAGAGGGAGGTTCGTGAACCAGGGGCCTGCAGGACGAGGGTTTAGGATTTGTAAGTTTAGGGTTTAGGGTTTATAAGTTTAGGGTTTATAGGTTTAAGTTTTTAGAGTTCAGCTCCAAATACCTTGAGGCCGAAAGAGCCAAAGCAGAGGCCAAGCAACAGGAGGAGGAGGCGGCCGCTGCAGAGGCAACCACCCTGACATCCGCTTTGTGAGGGTTCACGGTTTAGGGTTTAAGTTTTATAACTTTAGGGTTTAGGGTTTAGGATCTTGGACGACATGGTTTCAGGGTTTAGAGATGGGTTAACAAAGATGAGGGTTTATCGGACTTACAGATCTTAAGCCGTAGGCATTCGTAGAAGGCTCGCAAGAGGCCTTGATCCCATCCGTGGTACCTGAAATCGTGACACAAGGCGTCGATGCACTTTAGGGGCAGCTTAGCAGCACTCTGCCTACCCTGAAAAAGGCCCCATGGAGCTCGGACCCTGAACTATAGAATGCAAAGCCCTCTACACCCCAGACATCTTAACCCGCAAAGAAGTCCCTCAGAAAAGCGCTCCCGAAGCCCCTAAACTCCTAAACGCCCAATTCACAAACCAAAAATAGTCCCAAACCAAAGACCCCTAACCCCGAAACCCTAAACCTCTGGACATCCCTGAGCCTTAAACCGTGAATCCAACACCCCTCAAGCCGAGGCCAAGCAGAAGGAGGAGGCAGCTGCCAAGGCAACAGTCGCCAAACTCCTGCTGTTTAGGGTTCAGGCGTGTGGGGTTTAGGGGTTGAGGGTTTGGGGGTTTAGGGGTTTAGCCTAAGGGGCCTAGAGATTCGGGCTTGAGGGGTTTAGGGAAGTTTAGGGTTTATGGTTGAGGCTCTGCAAGGGCTTCAGGGTTTTGGGGTTTTGGGTTTAGGGGTTTGAGGTTTTCCCTAACTAAAGGCTAGACCCTCACATGTAGACCCTGATTGATACTCCGCCTTGCCTTAAGGAGTATACTGCACATACGGAGGCCACTGAAAGAAAAAGGGGTTTGGTAATCAGGGGTGTCCATTACAACCGTGGCTTTCCTTTGACTGTGCAGGAGATACTGCGACGAGCGTGATTTCTGTGTTGGTATTGTGTGGTGCTTATGCTGTTTGTTATGGTTGGCCATATTCTTATCGTTGAGAACACTACTGCTCCGGTGTGCAAACAACTGCCACGATCAGGACTTCGCCTGTGATCGCTCTTCTCGTCATCACGCAGAGCATCACCAGCATATTATTTATTTTCTAACATCATCTTCATCATCAGCACCATCTGTTTCCGGTGCGAGTGGTTGCATTACCACGTTTTGTTGATTACTGCCGCTACTTTGGGTATATTACTGCGGTCGTTGCGAGGTATTCCATGTTTGTACGGTTACAGAGTACGGGTGCTTGCAGTAAGTCCGAACGCGCAGTGCAGCAAGTGAGGCCAACGAAGCGAAAGCAGCCAAGGAAGCAGAAGAAGCTCGTGAAGCCAGTGAAAGGGAGGCGAGGGACAACAACAACAACAAAGGAATCAGCAACAACAGCAACGGCAGCAAGAATCAGACAATAGTAGCACCAGCACCCTTGCCGGCAGTAGAAGCAGCAACAGCAACAACAGCAACAACAGCAAGCCAGCAAGGACACTGGCACCGCCACCACCAAAAGGTGCACATCGTCGCAATTGCTGTGATGCTGATGGTGGCCATAGCCCATAGCCTTTCAGCGTCATAGGCGAAGGCATGCTGGCAGCAGTCGTAGACCATATCATGGCAGTTGTGAACAACTGGCGACGGTGATGATGGCTTGCGTATCCATGCATATCACCATCCCTGATCTGATGATATTCATGATTTTGTTGGATTCTGCTTCGCGCGCTTGAGCGTATCCGGAGTCGGGCCGCGGCAGCCCTGAGGGTTCAGGGATGGTGCTCCCCTAGAGCCCAATAATCATAACAACACTTAGGTGGGTGTAACGTAGGAACCTGATTAAGAAACCCTGGGCCTATAACCCCGTAGAAACCATATAAGGAGCCCTAACAAAGGCTCAAGGTTTCTTAATCAGGTTCCTACATTAGGGGGGAGGGGGTAGGGGCCCTTAAGACCGATTATAATAAGGACGTAATAAGGCCTATTTAAGGAAGTTTAGTCCCTACTCCCCCCTCCCCCTCTACCCCCCCCCCCCAAAGGGTCCCTATGAAATAACCCGAGCCGCAAGAAAGCCTTCGCCTCCAGCCCCAAATCCTGAACTTTAAACCCTGAAGCTTACTTAGAGGATCATGGGACTTAGTAACTAGGGTTTAAATGAAGGTAGCTATACTTATAACTACTTATGACCCCACATAAGGTACTTATAACCGTACTTACTACGTCCCATGATCCTCCAAGTACAGCCTGGATCTGGCACCCTTCCTCTTATGACAATTCCTGAAACTCACCGTTTAGGGTTTAGCGTTTAGGGTTTAGGGCCACTAAGCCCGAAGCCAGAAAATCGGGCAGACAGCAACAATTGCGAACAAGCTGTCTGCCTGGGAGGCGGCGAAGAAGGCGGAAGAAGCCAAGGAAGCCGACGAAGCCAAAGAGGACGAGGAAGCCGAGGAAGCCAAGGAGCGTAACAGCACGTCAAACATTCAAAGTGAGCATAGCAGTAGTCGTACCATGGAAACTGAGAAGAAGAAGAAGAGTTATTGTTTTTTCTGTAATATTCATTTTGCAACCGAACCAAGATTTTGATGGCAGTCTTTCGTCGTAGAAGCAGTGATGCGTCGTAAAACAAAAATGAAGGATAGTCTGAGGTGGAGGCTTTTATGTATAGGGCTTCGGTCCGTTGAGGCTGCAGGGTGTGTGGATATTAGGGTTGAGGATTCTGAATTTATTGGAGATTAGGGCTTGAGGGTCGGCTTATGTTCAGTCTCATATATTTAGCTATTGGTTCTTCTTAGAATACCAATACAACAAAAGTTAGTACGATATAATTTGGTAGCGCATATATATATATACATATATATATATATATATATATACATGGCAAAATATGATGTAATACATGATGCTATTAAAAAAAAAGAGGTATGATCTAATTCCGCAGAGTCTTTATATCCTAAACCCTAAGCTTCAGGAGCCCGAGGAGGCCGAAGAAGCAGAGAAGCCAGCGGAAGATGCGTTGGCCTTGGCCTGGGGCGGTGCCTTCTTCTACGGTTTAGGGTTTAGGGTTTAGGGTCTAGGGGTTTAGGGGTTTGGGGTTTAGGGTTCATGGTTTGGTTTAGGGTTTAGGGGTTTACATAGGGTGTAGGGGTTTAGAGTTTAGGGTTTGGTTTAGGGGCTAGGGGTAAAACAGTGCCTACTGTTGCACTTTTCTTTGTGGCCTCCCTTAGTCAAATCGAAGAGTAGGAAGAAAAGGGTACCCTAAGTGTTATGGGGCTGCTCAGATCCCGGTGGTGCTGCTTTGCGTGTTTTGGTGTTGGACAGGGGCATAGAAGGGAGCCGGCCCGGCAACGATAGTGTCTAAACCCCCACCGGCCTATCCACAGGCTCCATAGCAGTTCCTTTTTGGGATTACCTTATCCACGAAAGGGAACTACTATGGAGCCTCTGGGTAGCTCCAATAGTGCTCTGTTCGGAGTAAGGCATCGTAGGCTTTGGCGTGCGGGTTGGGGCCCTGCTCTCGAAAACCGTGCGTCCCATTGCTGGCCATGAAGCCTAACCCTAAACTCGAATCATATGGGAGTTTCCGAAAATAGGGGACCCGAATATAGCACCTTGAATCGTAGGCTTTGGCGTGCGGATTGGGGCCCTGCTCTCGAAAGCCGTGCGTCCAAGAAGCTTCGCAGTCGAAGCAAGCACTGGGTGCGGGTACTGCCCCCATACAGTAACAGTCTATATTGTTGCTACTATTTTGGGCCTAATATGTCTGTGTTATGAAACTTATCCCAGTGTTACTGACTGGGGGCAGTACGCAAAGTAAGCAGCATTGATCCCCAAAGGTCAAGAGGGAGGAGGGTTGAGGGTTTGGGGTTTAGCATTCTCTAACCTCGCAACCCTATCAGGGGCTTTTCTGTAAACTTGAATCGGGTTCTGGGGCATACATCATCTACTTTCTGCCAGTCCTGCAAGGCTCAAAAGGTTGCAGATGTCGGCAGCCCTGAAGAGGCATCGTTGGAGAGGGCTGGGTCTTGTAGGGCTTCAGGGTGGATGAGGGTTTGACCGCATAGCTCAAGACTGTAAAGAAGTTTGTAACTGTTGGTTGGTGTGAGGGTTTACTTGGTTTACTTGCGGGTTGCCAAACCCTAAACTAAACCCCAAACCGTGGCTCTTCCAATGCCACCGATACCCAACGGTCCTGGTACCTCTGGGACTTCTTTAACTATTGACCCTTCCCTTTGAATCACACGTTGGGTACTGCCCCCACTCAGTAACAGTTGGATAACATTCACATAGATATGTTAGGACCTTAATAGTAGCCCTATTATAGAATGTTACTGCATGGGGGCAGTACCCAGATCACACGTTGTTTTGCGTGTTTATCTTTGGAGAGGTTCGGCTGCTGGATAGAAGCGCAGAAGTTTGGACCAGATTGGGATGATTGAAATGCGGGAGTTTCCGAAAATTCGGGGTCCTCATAATAAGGATCCTACTATTTAGGGTACTATATTAGGATCCCCTATTTTCGGAAACTCCCATGTAAGTGCGCAGCTTTGCAGTCCGGTGGTTTGGAGCTTTGTATAGGTCTCACACCCTACATGTTACAAAACTATTGGCGTACTGTTTGAGCACACACAATTGAGCTTGTTTGGGCAGGTCGTGCACTTAAGCGAAGTATGTGACTACTGCCGATGCTACATACTTCAGTCGAAGTTTCAGTTCATGCTCCACACTTTTGTTGGCCGCGGTTGTAACCCAATCTTTTGCACTGTTCTGGCACAGCAACTCCTGCCAACCGAAACAAGCATGTGAGTTTCCGAAAATTTGGGGTACCTTATTTTGGGGTCCTTATGACAAGGACCCTACTATTCAGGCTACTATATTAGGGTCCCCTGTTTTCGCAAACTCCCGCATAGGTGCACGAACCGCCTGGGGCTTGAAACAAAGGGGAAAAGGAGGGACCCTTAATGGGGACCACTACCCTATAATGCGCTATATAATTAAAGGGTATATACTTTATATAATGGTTATGTTAAAAAGTTTTATGGGCTATATAATTATGGGTATATATATGGTGATATTATCGTTATATACCTAGGGGTCCTTATTAGGGGTCCCTCCTTTTACCCTTTGGTGATCATTAGCCTTCGGAAATGCCGCACACGTACGCCCTTTAACCTCTCAACGCCTGAACATCTAAGTCTAGGCCGCTTCATAGACCCGCCATATTGAAACAAAAAAAGTTGTAGATACTCACCAAAAACCACAAAACTCCCTAAACCCCAAAACCTTAAACCCGCACATAAATCCTTGAGTCTCAAACACCGAAGAAGAGCCCAGAAACCGCACAGGGCAACGAAGCCAAGGAGAACTTTAAGTTCGCTTTGGCCACGAGCCCAACGGGGAGTGCACGGAGAGATTGTAGGGGCCTAATAATAGGTAACTCTTCCCATATACTTCCGAATTTAGTTGGCTATAATATAATGTACTCATTAACGCCTGCATTACTTGTGTTCGTGTCTGAATTTTCTGGACAGTCTATGATGCTCAGGTTAATTATGTTGAGAGCTTCGGGCCTATAGATGAGTTGAAGTTTCAGGTGTTGTTATTGTTATCATTACATGTACTGGTGCTAATACTATGGCTATTCCAGAGATTTCTATTGCTGCTTCGTTTGCTATTGCGATCGCCGTCGTTGTTGTTTGCCGTTTTCAGTTTTCCCACTGATGCTATCGCGATGGTTCGTAGTACGGTTATCACCAGAATTGCCATCTCTACTGCGATGATTATTATATATGCCATTGCTGTTGTTGTGGTGCTGTTGCTGTTGCTGGTGCTTGTGGGTGGTATTATTTTCCTTTCAGGTAATATCAGAAAGACCATTATTGCAACTGTAATTGTTGTTGCTATCATCATTCATGTAGTTACTGTTATGATTATTGTCGAAATGTATGGATTTTTCGACCAAGTTCTTGCTGTGACAACTGCAGCTGCCATCAGTCTGCACCTTGCAACAGACACTTGCCCCGAAAACAGGATATTCGAAATCCTGCGCACGTAGATTGATTTGACCGACTTTCGCATAAGCCCTCGGCCCGTACACCCACAGCACACCTGCAACTCCGACAGGCGAGAACCGATGTCCCCCGAAGGTGAGAACCGATGTCCCAAACCTTCTTGTTTACAGCAGCCTAGGTGCTACGAAAACGGCCTGTATGAAACCGGATGAGGTAGGAGCCTCATTATGAAACCCTGGGCCCTACAACCCCAATATACTAGGAGGAGTCGCATAAAGAACCCTCCCGGCAGACCCAGGGTTTCTTAATCAGGTTCCCATATATATATATATATATATATATATGTATGTATGTATGTATGTATGTGTGTGTGTATGCATAAACATGTGTGTATATGTATATATATATATATATACATCTACAAGCAAAAAAAAGGTGTAAGAACCTATATGTATATGTTTCCAGCACCAGGAAGGCCCCAAGCAAGCCGAGCCCTCTGACCCCAAGGGAAGGCGAGAAAGCAACGCCTTGAAGCTCCAGCGACAGAAGCCGGGATTGGCAGTCAGAGGGTCTTTGGGTTTTAGGGTTTTGGATTTAGGGTTTTGGGGTTTCGGGTGTTAGGGTTTCAGGGTTTAGGGTTTAGGGTTTTTAGGGTTTTGGATTTAGGGTTTTAGGGTTTCGGGTGTTAGCGTTTCAGGGTTCAGGGTTCAGGTTCCGACATGTTCTGTTTCTGCGGTCATAATTGCTGCGCTATGTACAGGGCCTTATGACAAGGAGCCACAGCAGAACAGCTCAACCCGCTTTGGAGGTTTATCGGCCGTAGTTGGTGAGGTTGTGGGGTTGGTCAATGCATTAATTACAGTATATATGGCGGAGATGGATGTGTTCTTGATATTCAACTTGATAGAGTTGCTAATGAAACGAACACACGCCGAGTTGATGAAGCTATGCTTAAGCTACTTAGGACACACTGGTTGCCTTAGTCCCTTCGTCCTTTCAGTGGTAACATCATTCAAACAAATGCTTGTTTGGAACCCATGTAGCACCGCAAAACCCAGTGTAGAACCTATGTAACACCCCCCTAAAACCCCTTGTTGAACCCATTAGAAGCCAGGACAAGCCTTTTATTGAATCCAACAGAACTCCCTCTAAACTTGATCCCCCAAGCCCTAAGCTGCCCTAAACCCCAAACCCTGAAGCCCTAAACTGCCCTAAACCCTATAAACCTCGTTAGAATATTGAGATTGGTGAGGAGGTCTTCGGCCCCCTTGCGTTTAAGTTTCGGGTGTTATAGGGCTTCACCTTAACCCTGAATAACCTACCTTTTTAGGGTTCCTTATTATGATTTCCTTATGTAAGTCCTCAAAAAAGTAGGTTCTTCCGGGTTAAGGTAGGGTTTGGCAGTTTAAAAGGACCGTTTGAATGCTGACAGGAGGCTCAAGGTTTCTGATGTACTGGCCGTTACAGACTCGCGGTTTCTTCTTTCTTGCAGATATTTCCGAACCCAGGAAGAGAGAGCAGGAGAAAGCACAGTGCCTTGGCCGGTCAAGTTGGTCTCTCGGTTTGTTTTGCTCAGGGTTCAGGGGTTTGGGGTTCACTGTGAGTGAGACTGTTGGGTCGGCTCGTAGAGAAGCTGTTGAAAACGCTCCAGCATGTCAGTGATCAGCACTTGTAGTTTGCAGTTGTGCCTAGCTTTCAGGGCCCTTGTATAGCTGCTAGGTACCTGTAGTCTGGAAGTGTTTGTACGCTGTTATGCTTTGGCTCGTAGGGGAAGGCTACGAAAAGTAAACCTCTTGATGAGCCCAACGCCTGGGCCAGAAGCAACCGGAGCGGTGGCTTCTCCGGCCTCTCTGCCTGGAGTGCGGGGAGGCGGGGATGCACCGCAGACTACAGTGAATGGTACAACCGCCGGAGTTGGAGTGCCATCGCCCTCTGGGCTTGCGCAGCCTATTGGGGATGGAATCCAGCAAACTATGATGGATGCGTCGTCGGGGCCATCGACTTCCACAGCTGGTCTAGTGCCATCCCCTCAGCTGCCACAAGAAACTGTTGGAACAGCCGGCCAACCGAGAGTTTCAGCAGTCGGTAGGACAGGAGGCGATGGAACACTAGGCCAGGTTGGAGGCTTGGGCACAGCTGGCGTTACGTATGAAGCAGTATCTACCACGGAGGTCGCTGATGCGAGTGGGGTACATGGAGATGCAACTGCAGTGACTCAGGGTTTCAGTGTGGCCACCGAAAGTGGAATGGCTAGCGCTCAGATCAATGTTGCCGCAGGCGTCTCAGGGTACAACCCATCTGCAGCGAATCCTGGAAGTAGTGCTGAGGGCTTTGAAACGCCCAGATCAACGGCGTACGGGGCGTCAGCGGTCATGCAGACTGGGGCTCAGGCTTTTGCTAGTCAGTTGCTAGGAAGAGTGCAGTCTCTGTTTGGTGGCGCGGCGAACGTACAGCCACTGCCGCAAGGGTGGGCTCCCAGTCCACTGACTTCTCCTCCAAGGCCGTCGCGACCACTACAGCCCCTCGAGAGAGGAGGCCGCGTCCTGCAAGATGAGTGTCAAGTGCCGATGCCGTTGTTCACTGGTGCCAACGCGCAGCAGCTTGCTGCCATGGAGCAAAGAGCTCCCTTGCTCTACGGGTCCGGGTCTCCGGACAGGCCTCCGCACACCGAGTCCTCATCTATTCCGCATGATGCGATTCAGGCAGAAGTCGCGCGACAGCTTGATGGGTTGAAGCAGCAACTGCGAGCTGAGCAAGAGAGAGCTGGTCGTGCTGAGGCCGAACTCTCGAGGATTCGGTCTCAGCAGGCTGGTGAAGTTGAGGCTACGGCGTTGCAGCAGGTGGGTACTAGGGAGGTTGGCTTTAGTGGGTTTGGTGATAGTGGGTTCGGTTCGCATCCTGTCGCCAGCACTGGGGTTGGATTTGCCCCTTCTTCATCCTCACCGCCTCCTCCTCCGCCTCCTTCCGCTCCCGAGCCTCAGGGCTTCGCTG